TTCCTTCCTTACTTACTACTACTACTACTAGTCGACTAGTAGTAGTGTAGTAGTTGTTACGTACGTTCTTACGTTACGTTACTACGTCTACTAGGTACGTACGTCTCTCTCTCTCTCTCTCTCTCTCTCTCTCTCTGGGGTATTTAACTGCTAAACAGAGGGGGACACCCCCCTCCTCTCTCTCTCTCTAGAATGTCACTGCTAAAATGAGTTACACCTCTCTCTCAAACTATGACTATAACAAAAATTCATTGAAGGTATAGACCTTCGACAATGAGGAATATGACTTATAAAACCCTTATGGCACATTTGGGTTTGGCGTTTTACATAAATAAATTCTTGTGTGACAATATTTTTATAGCAATTGGTTTTAATGTATCTTTTCACACCAATTGATAATGAATTGGTGTAAAAATATTTTCATGCTTAACCACATGAAAGAATTTTTTTTATGTGAAAATATTTTCACGCAAATCATGTGCCATAAGCGCTTTTAAATTTCTATCTTGTCCAAAGAATGGAAATCCTTTGCATTTCATTAAGGTATGCACTTTCTATTGGGCCCGGCCTTTTATAAAAATAAAATAAGAAAAGATTGTACAAGGTATAAACCTTATACTATACAATAAGGTGTACTAAAAAACCCACTAGAGAATGTTGTTTTTATACTGAATAACCCCCAAATCTAACTCGGTCATCTCGACCTCGAGATTCATTGACAAAAAAACAAGGTGGGGGGAAAGGGGGGGGAGGGATTTCTAGTCGTAAAAATTACTCATCTTCTAATACATTATCTGGACAATCTATTTTCTAGTTTTTCAACTGTTTATACATTTGCTTTATCATCAATATTGTGGAACTTTAAATTTTGTAATTAGGGAAAACAATGGATTTTTCCTATAATTGCAAGGCTTTACGGCAAAGAAACTACATTTCTAGCGTAGTTTTGAGGTATGCCTTATTTTAATAGTATCTAATTGACACCTTATACAAACCTCACCCATAAAGTAAAGCCTCATCTCGAATCCTCAGTTAGAAAGCACTTTGAGGTTCCGAAATCTCCATTATGGATCAATTATGAAATTCGAAGCTCAAAAAATGATATAGATCATGCAAATCCGTGAATGCTTATTTTTAGACGGTATAAATAATGTGTCATAGTATACACTATTTTCAGGCTGGAAATCTTTTGCTTTTTTTGTTTTTTACAACCACAATGGTCAAGGAGAAATGATCAATTCAAATTTCAAATTTTCAGTGAGTCTTGAGGTGAAACTTAGCTTATTTTGATGGGCTTAAAAAAGTGGGATGATGCAATTGTTGATGTGTGGTAGGTTTGATATCAAGGGTTGGATACATAAGTTACTTAGAGTTGATAGTCCAAGAAGGAGAGGTTTGATGTTAACCATATGTTTAGTCCAAGAAGGAGAGGTTTGATGTTAACCATACGTAAGGAAAATAAGAGAATTGTTATCATCATCTGATGATTTCTCCAACCATTTGAGATCGGCAGAATGAGGGGAGTATGGATCATCTGTTTTTACATTAATTTGTTGCAAAATGGCCTCTTTTTTTTCTTTTTTTTTTGTTTGGGTGAGTAAGTGGGGAGAGGGCCCCTATCCTTGGTAAGATTTGCAAACTGTCAAGCGTTAACCAATTAAGCTCAAACGTTTTTGGATTTTACTAAGAACTCCTTCAGCAATGTATAACCTCCTTTTTTTAGTAAAATTGGTAATGCCCTTCGGCATGTATGTTATTGGCAGCTATGGTTTGGCATGTTTAAGAAGAACAAAATTGGACTACTTTTGAGGATAATGTGGGTAGATTCGAGGCCCTAATGTCTAAAATTATGGCGATTGTGGCAACTAGCAAGTTAGGCAAGTGGGATTAAATAGTGTTAAAGGCATAGCAAGAGGAGAGGTTATATTCGGGGGTTTAAGAGCCGAGATTGAGAGTTTTTTTCAATTTTGAGAATTATCGTATTAAATTCGATAAGAGCTCCTTTGGAAATCTTGATTAGATAAAGTAATGGAGGACTATCAAAGAAATTATCTCCTTACTTATTCAAGACCTTTCGAAATCTATTCAGTAAATGAGGCTAAGTGAGAGCATTTTTGCAAGATTTATATTGCTGACAGAAAAAAAAAAAAAAAGTGTAAATCAATGGAGATTTAGGCCCTGCCTTTTGGTAAAAATAGAGTCATAGACTTCATCATAAGGCTCATTGATACCCCCAACCTATATTAAAATTGCTAGAGAAGTTGAAGGGGATTTGATGAACCCTATAAACTGGTGCAAGGGAGTGTATAGAGGGAGATCGATGAAAGTGAGGGATATGGCATCCATATTATTTTTCAACATTTATAGAAGGCAAAGGCAAGTCCATTTTTTGGACTTCCTTAGTGCCTTGGAAAGAATGAAAAAGAATAAAATTAACTCTAAAAAAATATGCATATAATGGTGGTCAACTAACTACCATGAGTATATGTGTAGTTGTGTACCATACCATATGATGTATGATGCACCATCCTTATTAAAAAAAAAAAAAGAGTGAATAATGACCTCATGGCATGGAGTGAACACCTTTTCAATAACGGGGGAGTTGACTAACAGACCCATAGGTATTCGCAATAATAATGTCTTAGAAATAAAGCACTTAGGCAAATAAACGAGAGTCATTTCCTACTAGAAAGAGCAACTTCTTTGCACTAGATAAAGCATTTTTTAAAAAATGTTTATAAAAATACTAGGAAGGAAATTAATGAAAAAAACACTATGTTATTATCGGATTTAAAATTAGTTATCTATATTTTACTTCTTACACTCTACGTCAGAGAGAGCAAATTTTATTTTGATTTTATCTTCTTTTTTTTTATAAATTAAATTAAGCTCAAATTTGAAACACCCATACTTCTCACCATCTCTCATCTCTAAAAATATAAAAAATAATAAAACAAATAACTGCGATAAGTTTTTAATGACATTCTAGTTATTTACTTTCTTTTAAATTGTTCCTTGTACGTTTTATTATTGCATGATGCTAAGAAGATGGATGCTCCAAATTTGATTTTATTCTAATGCATATAAAAAAATTAGAAGATGATATGCACTCTCAAAAAATGAGACTTTGGCATAAAATATAAAATATAGAAGACAAGTTTATATTCCAATAATAAAATGGGATTATTTCATCATTAGAGCATTTTTCCAACTATTTAGGGTGGCTATACAAATCCCGATCCATCACTTTGCTTTATCAAGGGTCATACCTTAAGTGAGACCCTAAGTCCCCATACTTTTTCTCACTACTTCCAACTATGTTGTTTTGGGCCTACTCCTAACCCTTTTTTAGCCTTCTACTTGAACTAACTTGTACTTCCTAGCAAGTGTTGTATTGGGTTTGTGATGTACATGGTCAGCACACATAAATCTGTTTTCTCTCATCTTATTGCTTATTGACATCATACTTAAGTTCTCTCAAATGTATTCATTTCAAATTCTATCCCTTTTTGTCTTTCCACTCATTCATCTCAACATCCTCATCTTAGCTATACTCTGCTTAGGGTATTGTTGTTTCTTAACCACCTAATATTCCGCCCCATAAAGCAAAGCTACTCTCACATCTGTTTTATAGAACCCGCCCTTCAGTTTCATGGGTATATAACGATTGTATAAAACTTTGGTTGCATGTCTCCACTTCGCCAACCCAGCTCTAATTCTACGTGTGATATCTCCCTCAATCTCTCTATTTTTTTAGATTATCAATCCAAGATATCGAAAATGCACTTTTTTTTTGTATTTATTGACTATCAATCTAACTTCTTCGCATCTATAAAATAAGACTATTTTTAAAAATACTATGATAATAATAATAATTAGAAGTGTAATGATGTAATATAGTAATACCCCTTGCTTAACTTTTTTCCAGTTTTCTTTTCAAAGTATGCCCCTTTTTTTATTTATACCACATTAGTCCAAAACCAAAAGCATGAAGCACCACATTCCCTTCTCATCCATTCCTGTAACCCTCTCTCTTTCTCTCTCTCGAACAACAGGGTTGGAGGTTTTGTTTTGGAGGAGGTGGGGGTAATTGAAAGTTGGACTATATAATCCGGGCAAGTGTATACCAATTAAAACTTTCGTTATTTTCACCACCCGAATTACTTACATATATCCAAATGCATAATAAAAAACACAAATAATCCCAAGGACTCTCACTTGTTGTCATTTTAACAACTTTTTATTGCACAAACAAAATTGTATAAACTTGATATTGGGATCATGAAAATAATACTCATGGGAACAAGAAAACATAATGTTGCAAACCATACAGAAGATTACCTCAACTGGACTTTATACACTCCATTCCGGGTCTCCTCCTCTAATGATGCAGGGGATCAATAGTCTATCTCATATATTTGATTAATAGGAAACTATAGGGTACAACCCTTAAACAGATATGAAAGCAATAGAAAAATGTTACAAGGTCTCAATACCTTGTGCATGGGGTGTGCTACCTCTTGATACTATAGGCTTGGGCGTGTCCCCCTATTTGTTCCTCAATATTTTTCTAAGGGATAGAGGAGCGACATCTGAGAGAGATGAGAAGTGTAGAGAAAGTGTCAAGATTTGGCCTCTATTTATAGACTTTCTCTAGGGTTAGGGTTTCTTTGGGTTAACCATCCTTATGGAGATTAGATCAAAACCATTACTCATAGGAGGTCAGTAGGATGAAAGATCTGAACCATACA